ACAATTCCTTAACATGTTTATTTACTGATATTTAAACAGGCCTGATGACAACTGTAACAGGCCTATAAATTTATCAATTTTTATATTTTTATATAGTTATAACTGTACTCTCAGCAGTGAAAGGATAAACTTTAGTAGCTCTCTCCTGATATTTACGTTAGTGGTCTCCTCTCTTTTTTAATATTACAAGTAAAGCGATCCATGCCCCTGTAAGGCAAACTACTGATTATGACCATACGGGTATTTTGTATTGTATTTTGTGTTGTGCACTTTCTTTCATACAGATATATCGTGTCCTGCCATTGGCAGTACATACCCTCTCATACAGGCACAGGAGACCACTATTTTTTAAGTAAAGCTATCCATGCCCCTGTGCATACAGGTACTGAATACATGTGGGCACACCCCTTCATGCTAAGCTACTCACTGTGAAGTTGCCGCATGCTACTCCCGTTGTACAAGTCACAACTACCCTTTTCCTTCTTCTTACCAATTCCTCTGTGACGATACGTAACATATGCGTTTTCCCAATCCGTGCCTGACCTAAGATCGCTAAATTGTGACCGGCAATACAGGATTTAAGGACATTGCTCTGTTCCACATTTAGCGCCATATGTCACGTGCGACGTCTGGAGTAGTTTTCCTTGCGCATACATACAGGTAGCCAATGATGGGGCGGGACATCATTCTGTGCGGAGCATAAAATAATTCGAAAAAAAATGGCATCTAGTTGTCGACAGCTCCTGTGTAATGCAGGTGTGCGAGGGGGGGAAATCCCGATATACCGCTTGTCATGTGTAGAAACTGATCGACGTAGTATTTCAGAGAAGCGGGCAGCACATATATTGAGGATATTACATAAGGATTTAAACCATTCCTTGTATATATTTCTCGAGTTTATCCGTGAAACTTGGTCATTTCTGCTGAGAGTTAAGCAGGAGTAGAACCTACCATTTTTACAGACTCGGGTATGTCTCGGCCAGGGGACAGAACCCAAAGCCTTCCATCACAGGGGCGAACGCTCAACTAAAGGCCAAAAGTGAGACATTGTCAAGGGAGACATTAAGTTTGTTGGTAATCCAGTAGAAAACCTAAAATGCAATATATCAGTATTGAAAGATATAAGTCGAAACTTACATCATAGGTATACAATATCTACGAAACTATGTCTACCTACTGCATTAAGTCATACTTTCACTTTACATGCTTCGACATTACAATTAGTATTAATTATACAGATATAATATTATATTATTATATTGCACTATGCTAATGTACATTTGCAAGTTACTGTTAAAATGATAATGACTTACCAGAGGCCTGGAAGTATCCGTCTTGCTCTGTCGGTAACACAGTGCAGAGTGAGTTGGAAAGGTTACGGGTGCGTGTGTATACGACACCCAGGGTCGTCTGAGTATGGAAATACTCGTGCAATCGCATTCGCTCGACCTTACACATATTATTATGAGACGGGTACGATAGACAACACATACAAGTAAAAATGCTGACCTAGTGCATCGATTACACCCTGTTACATTAATATGTTTGATTTTGTTGTGTCAATATTTTACAGGCGCATTGGTCAGCCATTCTCCGGTCAGTGAATCCGTAAGTAAAATTGGACATTTTGTTCACAACATGAGTTCCGGTTACATGTTAAATACGGATAACAGATTGATACATGTACATGTGTCAAGTTGTGAACATTTCTTTAGAATATGCGTTGTTTTGAAAAGTCGATTCATTGTGATATCTGTAGACTAAGTTTAATGTAAAAATCAATTTGACAGATCATAATAAAACAGCAATTTATAGTTAATCAGTGGGATTGGTTTAGGTAAGAGTCAAATAAAATCTTCACTATCACACAACACCTAAATTATTGTTTTACAATTGTGACAGTGATGTGGATTTATAAGTGTCTGTGTCAAGTAATATTTATCCTTATTTAATGCAAGAATTATGAAATAAGACAGTTGTTATGATCCTGCAAACTTTTAACACGTTTTCAATAAAAGGTGAGTAGCTTTTTGCTACTCTACTTTCATTTGATTTTTTTACAATATTTTAAAATTGATTATCACCAAGAAGAATGTATTTTAAAATATTTTAGGTATAAGAATTCCTTTTGTCTATTTTTCATATATCTCATTTGAATGTTTTATGTATGTTTGTGTAACGCGAAACTGATAAAGTTGAATATAAGAATGACATAAGATGCACAGTTTATTATTATAAATATATAGTAGTTTTCATTTTACGTTAACATAAAATGTATTGTTCTTTTAGAGACAGATAAAGTTTCACTGCATAAATTTCAAAACAAAGCAGTGACGACACGCTGACTGAAATAAATTTGTTAAAAGTGTCTCTTTTTTAAGTTACCTCATCACCTAAATCCTGGTTGTCATGGTCCATGATGTTACCCTTCTCAATGCCAATTTTGTATAAAACCACACATGCAATGATGATCCTTGCTGCTCTATATTTGGGCTGATCCTGAGGTCAGTGTGGAGACCAGATAATCTTCAATAAGAATCCATACGTTTGTTCAATCGTAGCTCTTGTCCGACACAATGCATTGTTGAAATTCTGTGGTTGTTGTGAGTATGCATTGCTATATGGTGTCATAAGACATTGCCAGGTGGGATAAGCGCTGTCACCCAGGAGGAATCCTCGATACGTCCCTGTAGTAGATACATCCATGTAATAACTAGTTATATCATGAAAGAGTTCTGGCTTATATTAAACCTGAATACGCAGGTACCTGTTATATATTACTCCCTGTTATATATTACACATGCATGTGTGTTTGGTTTTATTAGCTCACCTGGCCCGAAGGGCCAAGTGAGCTTATGCCATGGTCCGCCGTCCCTTCCGTCGTCCGGCGTCAATATGTTACTTTAAACAACTTCTCCTTAATAACCAAAAGGCCTAGGGTGATGATATTTGGCCAAACGCAAACTGGTATGAAGCACTACCAAGTTTGTTCAAATAAATGACCTTCGCCCATATTCAAGATCACAGGGGTCAAATATGTTAAAAACTTTAAACAACTTCTTCTGAATAACCAAAATGCCCAGGATATTGATATTTTGCCAGTAGCATGTTAGGATGAAGGGCTACTAAGTTTGTACAATTGAATGGCCTTCATTCATATTCAAGATCACAGGGGTCAAATATGTTTAGAAAATTTAAACAACTTCTTCTGAATATTAACCAAAAGGATCAGTATGGTGATATTTTGTCAGTAGCATGCGCGGATGAAGGGCTACCAATTTTGTTCGAATACATGACCTTCACCCATATTCAAGATCACAGGGATCAAATATGTTAAAATCTTTAAACAACTTCTTCTGAATAACCAAAATGTCCAGGGTTATAATATTTGACCAGTAGCATGCTTGGATGGAGGGCTACCAAGTTTGTTCAAATAAATGACCTTCACCCATATTCAAGATCACAGGGATCAAATATGTTAAAATCTTTAAACAACTTATTCTGAATAACCAAAATGTCCAGGGTTATAATATTTGACCAGTAGCATGCTTGGATGGAGGGCTACCAAGTTTGTTCAAATAAATGACCTTCACCCATATTCAAGATCACAGGGATCAAATATGTTAAAATCTTTAAACAACTTATTCTGAATAACCAAAATGTCCAGGGTTATAATATTTGACCAGTAGCATGCTTGGATGGAGGGCTACCAAGTTTGTTCAAATAAATGACCTTAGCTGTTAATAGGACGTTAAACAAAATTAAACCAAACCTATCCTGCATCGAATGAGGAAATGATAATGGGGTGGATTGCGGACACGTAGAGTCCAATACAGTATTAAAATACTACGAATAAGTCGCCGATAGGAGGGTCTGTCGGTCATTTTACAGTGTCAAAGTTTGTGTTTGTGTAGCTGCAATAGGAAGGAAGTCCTGCTTGACTTTTGTGAGTGCTTGCCTTGCTGGGAATACCAAAAATACTGTTCGAAAGGCGGCAAAGGGAAGACGTTGCAGTCGTAGCATACCTCAACACTGTTGCCTCCTATAACCCGAGTGTAACAAGTAAAGAAACTATTGGTTGCAAAAAAACCTAAGAGCACATAGCAAGATAGTAAGAGATGAAAGTGCATGGCTTCTTTAAATCGGTCTCTCCAATATGCATATGATCAATGACAATAAATACATTATTGTGCAAGGACGAAATCGAAAGCGTTCGAGGACATCGGCGTCTTGGAGTGTTTCCAAAGAAATTTCTAATCTTGGTGCGCAGTGCCGGCACCGATTCCATTTGCGACGTGGAACTCTGTGAGTGTCTGCCATGATTAAGAATGAAACTAAAGCATGCTAAAGGACCGTTCTCAAACATTTGCCCATTCTCAACTTAAAATTTAAGGAATGCGAATTAAGAATTTGGTAAAAAGCCGAAAGTTAAGCATTGAGAACGGAGTTAAGAAGTTCCATGCAGGCGGGGCCTGAGCTGTTAAGAGGACGTCACAAATGATCGTTAGAGGCGACTAGAGAGGAGGTCTTTGTTGAATCGGGGGTAGTTTCTTTCTTATTTTCAAAATACACCTGCTGTATCTAAATGCATGTAGATCGTAAAAGGCGACCAATGTGTCTCACTGCAGATTCTGGTGGGCTTTTTTTCTTCTTCTAGTGGACTTAAAAGATACCACAATTGATCTGCTGCCCCCATAGCTTGGGATCTTTTCCGTTTCCTATTATTCCTGTCTTCCTTAATTTGTATCTACTCACTGTTTCAGCCGGTGTCTCCCTAGGCAACCGTCCTCATATGACCCTAGCTGTTGCGAGACCTTAAATTCCAAACAAATCGTTTGAATAGATCATGTAAGAAATAAATCATAATGGCAACAGTAAATGATTATTTCAATTATTAAATGAAACAAGCAAATATTTGGCATTAGAAAAAATTATGGTTTATTGAGGCATTTTGAATAGAAATTGAAACAATAATAACTAACGTAGGTAGGTGTTTAATTTCACTGCTTTATATATTGCGATAAATCAGTAACTCTAGGATACTGTAGTATTGTCTTGTCGGCTGTGGATGGATGAGATCTCACGACCTTCTCTAATTCTCCCAGAGCGTGTTCCTTATCGTCCGCCGACATGCTGGCGAATGTCGATATTGTGGAATAAAAGGTCTTCATTTCATCTATGGTATACTGTGGATATAAATGAATATCTAGTGCGTAATCCATTATATCTGATATTACAAAGACACGTACAATATGCATATTGTTTTATGGGAAATTACGCCATATATCATATTCATTTAACAGGGTTTAACTACATGTTAGCTCGGTCAAGACTTGGTGTTGAGTCCATTAATTCGAATTATAGTTTAGTTGACACTACGTGATTCTCTTGTTCTTGTATACTATTAATAGATACATATTTAACGTGCTACACCAACGGTAATTCATTTTGTGGTATTCTTACCTCAGAAGTAGGGTAGTCAAGTAGTTTCCTGGTTTTAAGTCCTAGTCCAGGAAATGCATCTATAGCGTCTTTCCACCAAAACCTAACATACTGCGGATCGTCATCGTTGTAAAAGGTCAAAGCCTTTTTAGTGAGAACGTCAACCCAGTCAACCTCGGTGTTCGGCACATTCCAAACGAGAACTGTAGGAAGGAAAGGTTTGGTTTAGTATTGTTTTACGTCCTATCAACAGCTATGGCCTCCCCTGTGTGCAAGATGCATGCGTGTGTGTTTTGGGTGGCTGCGATATGTTCGTGTTTGTCTCCTTGTGATAGCGCGGAACTGATGCCGACTTTTTAGGGTTACTTCACTGAAACGTACTACCCAGCAGGACACCCCGCCCGGTCACATTATACTGACAACGGGCGAAAAAGTCGAAATTAATGATCTCATAACATATTGGTTAGGCTAAGTAGTGAGTAAAGATAAGGCATCGTATATGACGTCGCCTATTGTCATGCACAAAATATTATTAGCTCACCTGGTCCGAAAGACCAAAGTGAGCTTATGCCATACCGTGGCGTCCGTCGTCTGTACGTCAACAATTTCTTTGAACGACTTTTTCTTCTTAACCCCTGATTGGAATTTAACTAAATTTGACTGGAAGCATCCCTAGGTGGTATGGATTCAAAATTGTACAAATGGCTGGGCTGACCCCCAGGAGGCTGAGGGGCGGGGCCAAAAGGGGGCAATTCGGCTCTATTGATTTAAGCGACTTCTTCTCTGGAAATAAGAGATGGATATCAACCATATTTGACTGGAATCATCCCTACGTGGTGGGGATTCAACATTGTACAAATGGTGGGGCTGACCCCCCATGAGACTGAGGGGCGGGGCTAAAAGCAGGCATTTTGGCTATATTGCTTCAAGCGACTTCTTCTCTGGAACTAAAAGATGTATATCAATCATATTTGACTGGAAGCATCCCTAGATGGTGGGGATTCAACATTGTACAAATGATGGAGCTGACCCCCCCCCCCCAGGGGGCTAAGGGGTGGGGCAATTTGGCTATATTGCTGTAAACGACTTCGTCTGTAAAAATGGTTGAGATCCCTACCGTATAACCATATATCAATTGCTGAGTTTAAAGAGAAGAAGGCACAGTTGCTCCCAGGATGGCCCTAGGGTATGGTCCCACCCTTGGAGACACAGTCCCTGGGTCATAACTTTGAAACAGTTGAGATCCCCTCTCCAAAACTATATATACAAATGCTGGGCAAAAAGAGACGAATGCAGTCATGATATTAGAATAGACCCTGGGGTCTGACCGAACCCCCTAGGGACCTAGTTTCTTACTCACAGCTTGGAAACAGTTGAGATCCCCATAAATAAATAAATGCACAGGATGGACTTGGGGTCTGCCCCACCCTTGGAGACTTAACCCCTGGGTCATAACTTCGAAATGGTTAAGACCCCCACCCTAAAACTATATATACAATTGTTGGGCATAAAGAGACGAATGCAGTCATGATATTATAATTGATCCCATGGTCTGCCCCACCTTTGCAGACTTAACCCTTGGGTCATAACTTTGAAACGGTTGAGATCCCCACCCCAAAACTATAAATACAAACGCTGGGGAAAAAGAGACGAATGCAGTCATGATATTAGAATTGATCCTGAGGTCTGGCCACAACCTATGGACCTATTTTCTGAGTGACAGCTTGGAAACAGTTGAGATCCCCACCCCATAACCATACATAAAATTGCTGGGCATGAACAATCTTATACAGATATGCTACAAGGATTGGCCTTGGGATCTGGCATATTCCCATGGATCTCACTTGGAGAATATTTTGCCATGATTGCCTTAATATCCAGGTGAGCGATACAGGCCCTCTGGGCCTCTTGTTTCCCTTCGGGTTCGGGAGAGGAATAGGCCTACTGTTTCTCGCATATGTGATTATTTACACTCAATAAATCTTGATAATAAAATCTTATACATTTTACAACCAATTCGTTCATGGTTGAATTAGTTGTTCATTTGTTCACTTTCGGTTGTGTGGCCCTATGGTCACCTACGGTCTTAGCTGTTGTGAGGACGTTTAAGCACAATCAAAGCATGACAAATAACGTTCTCTGAATAGCTTACAAGGGGGGGGGGGGGGGCATATAATGTTGCCTATGTCCGCCACGTCCCGATTCAATGTTAACACTTAACAACTTCATTCTTTCACAGATTATCGTCAAACTTTATACTAGGGGGTATTCATGTCTTTTAGACATTTTCTAGTTTTATATTAAGCATGAAATCATGATATTGGCGTCATATGTTTTTTTCTGAATTTGATGTAAGACACGTTGATAATTGCAAGATTTACATACGGTTGAAGATAAACTAAATGATCTATGTGTTCTTTATATTATTGCGGGGGAGTCATGATTATTTTTTTCTCAAAGCTTTTATATCACAATGTGTTCGTTTAAATAAACTAACCCGGGTCGCATTATAAAATGAGCCTGTCAATGCCAATGACATTACGTTTGGGATATGAACAACTTGTATCAAATATTCAATTTTGTTACCATATCATAAAGAATGGTTATGACTTACTTAAGCTCCCCTTGGGTTTAAGAACCCTAGTTATTTCAGTCAAAGCAGACTCGTTAGCGAACCAGTGGAAACACTGCGCCGCAACAATGCCCTAAAATATAAATAATACAATGACAGATGGCATCAATTTGAGGGGATATAGACCACTATTGTTTTAGTTTGCGTATATTATATACATGTAACTTGAAATTATTGATATAATTTATTTATTTTTAAATTAAGAACATGAAACTGTAATAATATATTTCAAATCTCCTTTTCGAAACAGTTAATGTCTACAATTATAACCTTCTTAAAACAATTGGTCTGATATAACTAACCTTAGCCACAAATTGACAATTGTCTTTTACCTTTTCCTCCGTTTGGTTTCATTTCCTTTCACATGTTTTATCAATTTTTAATTGGTCCTAATTACCTCTGTTCGAGAGCTAACTCATGATCAGTAGGTGAGGTAATCATACTCTGTGGATTAGGGATTCAGCTGGATGGTTTGGTTTGGTTTTATTTTGTCAACGTCATGTTAACATATAAGGTCATTAAAGAACGTGCTTGCATGTGTGTTGTGCATGTGTGCTAGAGACAGGGATGTTTGTGTACTTGCCTCTTTGTAATAGCGCGGATCTGATGCCGACTTGATAGTGCTAACTCACTGAAACACCATGCTAAAGGCACAAAGCACAGCATTCCGCCCGGTCACATTAGACTGACAACGGATGAACCGGTTGTTGCCATTACCCTCAATGCTGAACGTTAAGCAGAGAATAACAACTACCATTTTGAGAGACTTTGGTATGTCCCGGCTCAAATATTACTTCGTCCACTTCATGTGCTGGAAGCAGGGTATGTTGGTGTATTTTCCTGCTTACATTAGCGCGGATCTGATGCTAATCAAACACTTTTTCGGAGAATTTGCAGTTTTTCCGCCATGATTTACTTGATATATTAAGCATTAAAAAGTGCTCAAATAGATGTTTTACACGACTGATTACACAATTAATCGTCATGGATGACTAACATGTAAATACAATTCAAAACGAAGCTATCACCGAAGGTCCCTGGAAAACATAACAAAAGTGTTGAAAATCTTCATTTGAAATTTGGCGGTAACGGTAGTGCTCTGACGAAGCTTCTTCCCTTATGTATGTTTATGTGTGCTGTGACTTGCTTTGAACTTACAGAAGCCGATGTTGTGTACTTGTGTCATGTATTCGTACCCCTACGTTTGTTACTACATATATACGTTAATAATGGTGCAAAAAACGAAAATTATGAACCGACCTGGATAGAGTTGTCTGGGAAAGGTATAACGTCGGCCGTGCACTTGACAGTGGTCACACCTGGGCATCGTTCTCGCAGCGTTGTCAGGAACTCGGACATTGGTTCGGAAGCAACAAATTTTAGGTCCTAATAATAAAGAGGATATATATACAGCACCATGAAATCTTGTAAAAACATTCCCGTTGGCTTGTGATATTATGTTCACGTATATATGACTACTAAAACACACGTGATTATACATCACAAAAAATAACATCGACGGACGACACCAGGCTTGTATAGAATCTTTAATACAAATGGTATTGTTGTTATTGGTAATTTAAGACTGAAGTAAATCGAGTGGTAAAGTGTCGGCAATAATACTGCGAGAAGATATTCACTTCCTATTTGAAGACGACTGGCATCGACTTTGCTTGTCATATTCTTTGTTTAATGAACATCAGTGATCAAATGACAAAATCTATATTTACTTCATCAGTAGTTATTTTAAAATATAATTGCCAAAACAACCGTATCTTGAAATTAATGGGCCGTTAATATTCCTAACTAACTAACTTTATTATACCTTCTGTTAAAATCTCGTAATCTGATTGGTTGAGAAAGATGTGAACATTTTCAATGTTACTTGCTCGTTTTACAAAGATAAAGAAGACAGGGTGACATTCCAAAAAATATCACATGCGCCAAACGTATGCGTGCACGGTTCGTCCCAGTGCCAGGGTGTTAT